CTAGATAATATTATTATTTTTAATTATAAAAAGTTAATATTATCTTTTTATCTTTTATAATTATAAAGATTATTATTTAATAGATTTTAAAGAATATTATAAGAAAAATAATATTATTATATTTTATATACTTTCTTATTTTTTTTATAAGCTTTAGTTATTTAATATTAAATACTTTAGTATATTAAAAAACTTATATAATTAAATAATTAAATAGATAATATAAATATAAATTATCTATATTATTAAAGATAATTTTTTTTTTTATATTTTAAGATATATATAATAATATTATAATCTTAATAAATATTAAAGCTAGCTTTTAAATAATTAGCTTTATTTTATTTAATTTAGATAAGATATTATCTTAGCTAGATAGTCTATTTTAACTAATTATATCTTAAGGTTTATAATTTAATATTATCTTTATTTAAATTAAATAGATACTAAATAATCTAATTAAAATAACTTTTTAAATAACTTTAATTAAAAATAAAATCTTCTATTATTAAAATAGTTTTTTAATATATATTTATAATAAAATTAATATTTTTATATAAAATATAAAGAAGATTATATATAAAATTATATTAATAGAATAAAAGATTTAAAATCTTTAGATAGTAAATAAAGTATTAAATAAATGTTAAAAAGCTAAAAAAATATATCTTTAATAAAAAAGATCATTATTATAATAAAAAATAAAGTAAATATAAGAAAAAAGAGGCTTTATAATTAAAGATAATATAAATCTAAGTAAAAAAAAAGATTATATAAAGAGAGACTAATAGTATATTTAATATTATAATAATTATAGAAAGTCTAGCTATAATATACGAATATGTCAATTAGATATAAAGATGTCTGAGGATGAGGATTCTAAGTAGTTTTAATTGATTTGAATTGTTGTGGTGGAAATAACTTATATATAGGTAGTGTGATGTACGAAAGGTAGCCTACTCGTTATGATGGCCTGCTTGTTATGCAACCATGTTATATTAAATTGAAAGATAGTATAACTTTAATATTTAGAATGTTATTAATGTTTTAAGAGATTTTAGTATTATATATCTTATATAACTTGTAGTATTAGTATTAGTACTACTAATTACCAACTCTGTCTATGAACAATGGAAGTAGGAGTATGCCCAAGGCAAACCGGTCAAGAAGAGTAATTGGTCAGATTGGTCCGAGATTGGCAAACGCTGGGACGAGATGTACAGATCGATGAAGTGGGAAAAGTTCCATATCGAGAAGATTAGCGACATCAAGGAGGTGCCCCGGATCGATCGATTTGAAGTCGAGCAGCAAACCGAGAGAGAGGCACCAGAGCCTGATGATGACGATGACTTCTTTATGCCCGACGACGATATGCTGACTAAGGCTGGGGTGGAGTACTATGACGAGGATGGCATGTTTATTGGTTAATGATTGGGATGGTCCTTTTGGGAGGGATGCTGCCCCTACTCGGGGCATTTATATGAAGCATTAGGGAATTCGGGTTGGGCTACGTTTTGCTTGACATCATGATTTATGGGCTGGAGCTATGTTATATGTTTTGTTTTCCCGGTGAGCACTTGCCATCACTTAGGTGTAGATCAGATTTCTTTGCTGGGCTGAGCTTTTTTCCCTAGATGTCCCGAGCAATATTAAGATACCCATTCACTTCAATCAAAATTCGTCTTATACAGAACATCAATCATGTATAATATTCCCCGTGTGACGTGACAGTTGGCCGGCATTGGTCGGTGTCCCCGATAGCTATCATACTGCAAGCAGAAATTCCCGTGGGCAGAGCTCAGGTATCAAGCTGTCTGCTCAAATCTGCCCAGTTGCATACTTTATCTTACATTTTGTTAGATAACCTTCACTAGATTTGAAGGTTGTTAGCCTAGCTTTAATAGTTTATTCTAAAATATACTAATATTCTATTTCTACTTTCCTTAATATTTATATAATTAGTTTACTAGCATATCTTCTTAAAAAAAATTGTTTTTTATTTTCTTTACTATATATAGTATATATTAGTTATAAATATATATTATCTATAATAAAATATAATAATCTAGATTTTAATAGTTTAATAAAGAGTTTTCTCTAAATATTATAAAAGTCCTTAGTTGATTGGCTTATTCTTAGTATATCTAATATATTATAACTTCTGCTAATATAATTTAGTTATTTAGTTTATAAGATACTAGATATAGTATATATCTATCATTAGTTTCTAACTTATAAACTAATGATAATATTTCTTCGTTTATAAGTTTTAATATCGATATAACCTTTCTAAATAATATTTCTCTTATAAATATTAATATACTACTTTTTATACTAAGAGTCTTATCTTATAGTTAGGTTTCTAGTTTACTATTTTTAGTTATATTTATACTATAAATTTATCATATCTTTTTATAATTATATTAAGATAGTATAATGATAGTTCTTTACTACTTTAATAGTTTAAAGTATTATTTAATATTCTCTTTATTTAACTTATATTTTTTATATCTATCGTTATAATTATATATCTAGCTAAGAATATTATATAATATTATATTTATTTATTATTTAGATTTTATAAGTTATTTAGATTCTTTATATTCTTAAATATAATATCTTTTCTTATTATAGTTATAATATTATATATTCTTCTTATCTTAGATTTTCTTTTATTATCCTTTCTAAAATATATTAATTTCTATAGATTCTAAATAATATCTATAAACTATACTTTATAGCTTATTATAATATTATACTTACTTTTTACTATTAACTTAATATATTAGCTTAAATATTTAATTTTTATAAAATTTCTTTTTAAGATATTTCTTATATAGTCGATTATCAATTTTTATAATTATTACTATAAAATCTATAAAATCATTTAGTTTTTTATATTTAGATAATTTATTCTTTATATTATCCTTTAGTTTTATATAAAATATTATTATAAAAAGGTCGTTAGATTATAATAATTTAGATAAGATTTATTAAAATTTAGATAAATATTCTAAAGTAGATTCTTTTTATTTAAGATTTGATAATTTTCATTCGATAGTTCTTTCTTTATTAAAGTTTCTAAATACTATCTTAATAGCTTCTTTAAACTTTTTATAATTTTCGAAGATTTTTCTAGTTTCTTTATCTTATTTCTTTAGGTTTTTATTTTTAAGATAGTCTTTAAAAGTTAGTTTAAATTAGTTAAATATATTTTCTATAAGTAAATTAGCTATCAAAAGTATTTTATTATACTTTTATATAATTTTTACTATATTTATATATAAGTAGACTTCAACTTAAGTTAAAAATCCTTAAAGAATTTTCTTTTTTTTATTATAAGAGTCAAATTTCTTTATCTTTATTATTCTTATTCTTTCTAACTTAAAGATTATTTTAAATTATATAATCTTATTAACTATATCTTATATTATCACTATTAATCCTTCAATTATCGATAATAGTTATAAAAGATTATTGCTTAATAAGCTTAATATTGATAGAATGATAGTAGATATTATCATAACTATAAAGATATTACTTAAAGAGATATTATCAACCTATTGAATAAAAGCTTTTAATATATAATAATTCTTTCTATTGGTATATCGATAGATAACTAAAGATCTTTAAGTTTATATTCTAAAATAGGTTGAAAGATATTTAAGTAATATTTATAAAAATAAATAATCATAACTAGTTAGATTCTATTGATTATAAAATCAAACTATAGTATTATTAAAAGCTAAAAAGCTAGTCTCTTTATTTTTAGACTTATAGTTACAAACATAGTCTTATATAAAACTATAGCATATTAGATCATCATAATCCTTTGATGATCTAAACAATGATCCATGGCTGGGTCATCGCACCTACATAATGATCCCCTAGATCACTACTATAGCAGAGTGATCCTTATCTTCTATCTATATATAACCTTTATTTCTGCCTTACCAGGCCGCCAGCCGTTTACCATAGGATGGTCAGACTTCTGGCTGTGACATTTATCTTCTTATATTCTTTTTAGATAGTTTCTCTAATTTATATAAATAAGATTTAGTATTTTAGAAAGATAATAGTTAGTTAGTTAATTAACTTTTAATAATAAAGTTTCTTTGATTTAGTTAATATTAATTTAGCTATAATAATATTTTTATATTATTTTTTATAATAAAGAATTTATTAAGATAAAATATTAATTTTATATTAGTTAATAAGATAAAATAACTTTTTTAACGTTTTTTAATACTATTTCTAGCTAAAGTATAAACTCTCCTTACCAAATATTAATATATAGCCTTTAGTAGCTAGCTATCCTACTTTTGTTAGATACTATCCTTCTATAATACTATCTAGTAAGGTTTTAAGGACCTTCTAAAGGTAGATAAGATCCTTAGAAGGCTATTTGGCTTCTTACTTTCCAAAAAATTGAAAAGTGAAGTATAGTCATAGCTAGATTTGAACTAGTGACCTTATACTTTGTAAGGTAAGGTGTAAGCACTAAGGAGGTCAACCTATAGTGCTGTTAATTGCGTTATATAGCCTTGTTTTAATTATTATTTAAATATAGATAAGTATATAGTTTTTAAAGCTTTTATTAAGTTTTAACTATAATATAAAGTTATATAGAAAGTCTGGTCTAAAGTCTATCAATATACAAATTCTAAACGATATTATTATATTATTATCGAATTCTTTATAATTTAATATAGACTATACTTTATTTATCAAGATAATAGTAAAATTAGAAGTTATCTTAAGAGTTAGAAGCTTTCTAAGTATCAAATAAGTAAAAAATCAATAAGCAAATAAGAGCAAATATGACTATAAGACAATAGATAGAGTAAGAATATTCTTAATATTACCTCCTGACCGAAATAGTATAGGTGGTAATTATATGATATTTGAAGAAACTGTCATAAGCCTACAACTTCTTACTATAGAGAATATATAAGTTTGTTAATATACGAAATCGACATCTGTCACTCTACGATCGTAGTATAATCAACAGAACCATGCGAGCATTCGCCAGCCCACCGACACCTTTCCTGAACCAACTAGCATTTGATAATCCACCTAGTTCAGAGCGTTTGCGGGCAGATCTGCCGGGGGGAAACACCGGTCGAGTTGCTCAGCCTAAAGAGGCGGTGTCAGCATGTGTATTATATCAGTTGTAATGGGCACACAACTCACATCATTGCCCCACCAGTTTGGCATCGTAGCGTTGGGCAGATTGATGGCGAACATTATGATCGTCGAACAGATCTGTGTACCACAGTCCAAGCCAACGCCGAGCAGGTAATTGTACTTTCGAAACCATACAGGTCTGTATCGCAACATGTAGCCCATGAAGAACAGCGCCACGAACGCAGAGGTCATCAGGTTGGTGGTCTGGTATACGGGGAACCATGTAGCACCATACATGATGACTACGGGGTTGCAGCGTGTCTCCAGCTCCCAGTGAGGCTTGAACCGATGGAGAATATACACGAGGCAGACCAGCGCAGGGCCAATCAGAAACGCGTAGTATATCCAGGCATAGTCAGAGCCGGACTTAAAGAGAACCTTGGGACCCAGGACACCCCATAGAACGGAAAGAGAGTAGTAATTCTTGGTCTTCAGCGCCAACCAGGCATTCGAATGTTTAACACCGAGAAGAACATCACTGCCGATATTGTCGATGACCAGACGCATAATGCCGTAGTTAACGAAAGGTCCCAGTAAGGTGCCATCTATAGGGCTCAGAGTTAGCGCACGCTTCAATACGGGTAGTATATGGGCGAGAATGAACGTTCGGCGAGCAACTTTGACACTGCTTACCCGGCTCTGCATCGTTTACCCAGTGGAACCGGCGTCGATGATGAGCCAATCGGTACTTTAATATGGTGGGTTGTACCCTCTCACAAGATACGTATGCCAGCTGAACCCTTGATGTAGACTGAAGTTTGAACCCACTTACACACTTGACCCCAGAACATCTCCTTCCTGTGATACAATGTTAGCAGGTGCTTCTTGCAGCGAAGGCCAGATTGTTATGGCCATGGGAGGGGGACGAACTCGGGAATTTTCATATAAAATCCAAACTTGTAATCCGATATGAGCTACGATAATAAAATCAGCATATACATCGCAGTTGTATAGACACGAGTGGTGAGATGCCTTCGAACCCAGGATTCGACCACCGCGCCCTGGACGATTGCAACACTTACATTAAGGTTTTGCTCCAGAATTTGCCTGCCATAAACCATCGACGCCAGAACGGCGCTTGGGTTGCCAGCAAACACTAGTGTGGTCAGTAAAAGTCACGGTTACTCCGTGGGCGGAGGAAAGGGGAAGGGGGCCAAAATCGGCATATATGCGATAATGCAGCATAGCCTGATTAGAGACGTAGCAATTATTAAAATAACTTACTGGCTCCGGCCATGAGTTCGGACAAGAACGCCATACCAACTTGCACTATAACGACAAAGGTTAGCACATGCTATCAAAAGGACGCAGTAATAAACGATCCTATCCCCGAGTACGAGGCTAGTAATCGGTCACTTTGCCGAATTAATAGAACAATAGCGAAATTACTCACTGTTGGCCACACCCCAGAGAATACCGTTGGGGAAGGTACATATGACGGAGACGACACAGATGACAATAAATCCCCACCAAGGCAGACCTATGTCGGCACCGTACAGACAGCCCAGGGACAGTGCAAAGCAGGGGATGAGCAGTGCAATGTACCACCAGTGGGGAACGCGAGGAGTACGGCTCATCAGCTTCAGGTACGGGTCATTGTAATCGTCACGACGACCCTTCCACGCTTCAACGATTGCAATATACGAGTCCTTGCCGTACCAGAGCACAGAATAGACGAGAGCGCCGGCAGAGCAAGCAAAACCCCAGAAGAAATACATGGCGTAGGACATAGACCAGCGAGGCAGAGAGTAGTTGTCTAGAGCAGTCTGGTTGAGGGTGTACTCGGGCGTAAGGATGCGAGAGATGTTGAACCTAGCCCCGGTGATGTCGAAAGTGCCCGAGGACATGGGTGGGTAGTTCTGAGCGTTGAGTGTGTTGCTGAAGTACACTGGGGTGAACGTTGTTAGCAGTCTTGTCGCGGGGAAAGTGAAGAAACAATGTGAACACTCTGGTGAGTTCTCGCATCATGGCAAACAATAGCCATATATGATGTATTGTCTCGGAGACAGGCAGGTCACTAACGAACTCTGAAAGAACTCACTAATAGGGTAGATCATCCAGCAGGCAACGATAGCCCCGATGATCTGGGACATGTTGGCCCAGAGGGGAGTGTACAGCGGTGAGAAAAAAGAGATGTAGTTCCAATCCAAGGAAATATCGAGCATTCCGAAACCGTAGTAACCCGAGCCCATTATGTAGCCTATCCACTTCCCATGTGCCATATAGCAGAGAAGTGGCAGGGATGAGAGCATAGCTATAGAGGTCAGCAAGGCGATAATCCTGGATGGTCGAGGAATGACCTACGAAAGACAAAGCCAGGGAACCACTGCCAGCAGAAAGTTGCTGCAGCGACATAAGCGAAGAACTTGATCGAGTTCTTTGTAACCGACGGATTTTTATGCATGGCGCTGAAGAGCTGGACATTGGGCAGTACGCCAGGATAATAGATCTTAGGGGGTCGAACGAGGATATCACGGAAGATACCAGCGAAGCCATATCCGATCATCTGTGTGGTTAGGAGGAAGAGAATACCCCAACCAGGGTTCAACTTCCTGCCATAGTACAGCTCCAGGGCGGACAGCGGCCCCAGGCCGTAGGCAGTATAGCACTACCAGTAGCATGTCAGTAGTACTCCATGTATTAGGGGTGCGCCGAAGGTGTATATAGCCAAAAACGTACGCTTCCCCAATATGCCACAATGATGAGAGCATGCTCCTTGGCATTCCAAGGTCCAGGGTTGAGGCTGAACGACTTGCCGAATAAGGAAATGGACCTCGTAGGCAGATATCGGGCCATAGCATCACCCATTCCCCACGATAGCAGCTGTACAGCATAGCTGGACAACGACTGGTAGTAAGGCTTGAAGTAATACATCGATGAGATAGCGCAACCGGCGACAACCCAGAATGTGGACAGAAACCAGAAACGGAAGGTTAAAATTGGCTCGCTGGAGAACGATGTCAGCAAGCAGAGTTATTTGGCACATCGAGAGGGAGAAGCCAACTTGAAGTCATTATGCAAGGCCACTGTCTTAGCGACGAGGGGCACGGGGTAGTCCTTGAGACGAGGATCAATGAACTCCTCGTCGTCCTCCGGAACATAGATCTTTGCAGCCGAGTCGGTATCTGAATCACCGGCTTTATCAGAAGCAACCTCGATATCGTTCAGGTTCTTCTCGTCGTACTGCATTTTCTTCTCGTCAGAGATAACGCCGGTTGGATCAGGGTGAGAATTGATCTCGGTGACAACGCCTTCCGGCGCGCCATCGGGGACGACCGCCATATCTCAAGAGGCTTTGAGGGCGGAGGTGAAGAGAGTGTCTCTCACAAGGATAACTCAAACGGATATATCAGGTTGTCCGCCGACCGTGCGGCCAAGGTATTGTATGGGCGGGAAGTCAGCCAGATTTATACTACTAAGTCTATAAAAGAGTATCACTACAAAGCACATGCATTTTTCATATACACCCCTGCCCCTTGGCAGGATTGGATCTTACACCGTCACATCCCTTCATGGTGTAGCCGTTGATTCGGGATCTCGACCGGACCATTTGACAGGTGGCGATTGTTCCATGCAGAAGGATTTGTTCTTTATCTTGCACCAGACTGCCCGAGTTGTACAACTTCCTCTTTGAGGGTGCATCCAGGTGGGGAACGCCCCTCAGGGTAAGGCCCAGGAGCAACGCGATCCGCAGTCCATCATCGCTATGTGAAAGCTTAGCCTCGGAGGAAAGACAAGGAGGCCGCACTGGTTCGTATCTGCAGATCTCGTCAGGCCTAGATGGTCTTTCGTCCTTATCAGGCAGCCCCTGGGGCAACGACCTGGCTCGAGTCAAGAGAAGAGCAACATGGATGGTGTATTTGATTGGATGGCAGGGGACATGCCCACGCGCTGGAAAGCGACCATGGCCAACTTCAGGATGTCAGGCAGCGGGTCACTGTATGAAAGGCAACTTCGCCTGAGTAGCGTTGTGGCACCGCTGCTTCTTTCGCTGCACGGGTCACAACGTCGTAATTCCCCACGAACGAGGCTCAGCCCCTGCTATCGAAGACGCATCTTTGTCTGGCGGGAAATTAGTCGTAGTCTCAACTGGTCAGAGGTGGTGGTCACGGTAAAAGAAACAGAGAGCACAAGGGGAGCTCATGCTTGCCCCAAGTCATGTACCCTCGCTTACAAGTGCCAATACGGACAATGTTTGAATGATTTTGATAATGAGACTGATAGCGTAGGCTGTCCCGCCATCAGGGCACATACTGCCATCTTGAGACGATACTGGGCCGAGAATGGAAGGTACATTCGCTGAACAGTATGGGAGCCAAGTACTACCAGCAAAGAGGAAATGGACAGCTGCCGACTTGGCGCAATATGGCAGAAGCTCCGGGGACTCCTTCGTCATATAGATAGCCATGAGCCGGTAATCATGCCAGGAAAGCCCACCGTGGACTGACGACTTGGGCACCTAGGTATTCAGTCGTCCTTCGCATTTCAATCGCAGTGGACGGCATGCCACTTAGCCTGATTATTACAGTAACGAGATCACTTAATCCGTTGACTACCTAACCCGCTGGCGTTGCTTACCATTGTATCGTTGTAATGTACCGTATGTGATAAACGCTTCCTGGTAGGTACAGTGCATAGGTGATTTCGTGCTCAGAGGGGAATGTTGCGCCCTCACACCTTGGGGAAAAGACTGGCTGAGATAAAGGGGGGTTAAGCCTTGGCACGCGCCAGCTGCTCAAAGGTAGCAGGAGTACTGCGAGGAGGTCGGACACCGAGCCAGCGCCCGTTGTTACCCAAAACGGGATGTTAGTGCTTGTGCAAACGGATATGTGGCTGAATGAGATCGGAGTATAGTCGCCTGGAGGTGCAGCTTTGTGTCCGGTTCATGCTCTCTCTGGCAGGATTTGAAGATGGGAACGAGGGCTGAAGAGACTCAATAGAGTGCCCACGAACGGTGCCTTGGCCGCAAACAGACAAGATTGCCGCTCGTAGGCGAACTCGGTCGAACTCACCATCGACAATGGATACTGCAGCCCGGGCTCGAGCATGGAGGATGGACCAATACGCTGTTAAGGTCAGCTCGTAAAGCTAGCTCATCGGTCGACTGCGGAGGCATGCATACCATCTTCAGTTACTCCATCTTCCGTCGGCTCCTCGGTATCTTGTTATCTGTATCTACCATCACGTCCTTGCAATAGAATGAAGTGCCCTAGTTCGATTGCAGGGATCACATGAGATCCAATGGGGTAACCCGGGGCATAAGCACCTGCTATTTGCGACTGTCGTGGTGCCTCTGCTAGAGTGGATTGAATGGGGCAGTTTGAAGAGCCACCAGCAGCAATGAATCGCTGACTGACAAGGCCACACCCTGCTTCGTAGCTTGACTTGCGGGCCGGCTGACTATCTATGGCCTGTTCTTGTCGAATCGATGCCACCAATCAAATCAAATCAAATTACCTCGTCTCGATTGCTGCATCTTCGTCTCAAGTCTCTGACCAGCTCCCTGCCTGCTGGACAATGGAGCTGTGGCCGCCGTCCTTCCTTTGTACCGCGTAATTACCACCTAGTGCATCGTCCATACAGAGTAGAGCCTGGCGTGGCGCCTGTCCCGGCTTGGCAGGATAGCTTAGCAAGCCAAGCAAGCTTAGCCCACTTGGCTACCAAGCCCATGGTGCTGCTGAAGGCGCTAATGTGAAGAGGGAAGGTTGCTATCAGTAGCCTCGATTAGATGTTGCGATTTCACCTATCTGCAGGCGACCGAGACAATTCCTATCGAAAGTCGCCCCCTCACGGCGCCGATCGACAACGCAGGAATCGGTCCAGCTTTCGATAAATGCAGTGCCTGAGTGCCCCCCCAGATCGGTTCCGTTTGCCCCGAACAGGGGAGCTTGGGCTGGCCGTTGCTGGCGGAAATCGCCGCCACTTTTGATTTCTCCTAGGTAAGAGAGTGAAGAGCACCCAGTCCACTGAGCGTGTCTGGGTGTATGTGTGGATAGGAGACTGCTGTGATAAGCTCTTCGGCCGTCACGTGCTCCGTGATGTAAGTAGGTCTTACGGCTTGCGGAATCGACGAGCAGTTGTCGCGACGAAACTATTCCAGGTGCGTCTTTATAGTCTATCGGGAGACTGGTCAAAGTAGATGAGCTTGGCTCGTTCTCTGAACATCGCTGAGCACTAGTCGGGTTTCCAGATATGATGTATTTAAAGTGACCTGGCCGAATCAAGGGGAACGATTGGGGGTTGGTGCCATTCTTATACTGTACCTAGGTAGTGGAGGTTTATGTGCCTCAAGCGAAACGTGATCTGGAATGACATTCGCCCGGCTTATACGCCGCATCCTTCACGTGGATGTGGGTCATCTTGAGCATCTACCTCACGTACACTGGGCGTCATATCCACACGCTATGCCTTCTGAGGGTTGCCGAATGACTCACCGGTCGAATCACAGGTCATATATTATACGCACGGGCTTGTTCGTTCATAGCCGTGAACTACGACTAAGTGACCGAAATCTCTTCGAGATCTCAATAATGTACACAAGTGGCGTAGGCTCGGGGTATATATATCAAGGATACGAGGTATCTTCTGCACCTCGTTCTACATGGTAACGACTATGTCAAGCCCAGACTCTTCTCAACCACGCCCTCGCCTAGTGACTAGTTCATGCTTATGGGTAGCGATTACTATCTAGTAATAGAATATATATATATATATATATATATATATAAGAGAATATAAGACAAGACCATATAACATAGTTAGCTAACGCTATAGATTTAACCTCTTTAGTACTTATAACGATCTTTCTTATCAGTTTGTCGATAGATAACTAAAGGTCCTCAGGTTTATATCCTAAGATAGGTCGAAAGATACTTAAGCAATATAATATATAAAATGATTATAATCTTAAGGATTTTCTTATAGATAAGAAAACTATAATTAAAAGTTAAAAAACTAGTCTTCTTATCTTTAGGTTTATAGTTATAAGTAAGATTTTATATAGAATTATAAAATATTAGATTATTAAAGTTCTTTATAATCTAAAAATAGTAGTTTATTATAACTGTAAGGACTCTCAAGCTAGTAAAGATATTACTGGTCACTGGTACGGAAGTGAAATGAAGGTAAAGAGAAGTTATATTATAGAAGATTAAGTACTCGTCTATATAGAACGTATAGAAGTAAAGTAAGTGAGAGAAGGAAGAAGGAGGGAAGGTGGCCTTATATAGGTAAAAGGCCACCTACCTCTTCACCTGTCTTTATAGGTGTAGGCTATATAACGTAACCAACTCAAATAATAGAGCAATCCTCAGTAGCTTAACAATATTAGCTAACTAAGATACTACTAATTATACTATCATATATAATATAAGCCTTAATCTAATTATATATATAACCTTATAGAAATAGACAAATATTAATATCTTTCTTTAAACATAATACTTTTAGTAATTATATCTAGTATAGACTACTTTTAACATAATATTTTAACGCTAGTATATAAAGAAAATAAAGAAACCTTAATATATTATTTTAAGGAAAATAGATAGTAAAAACCTTAAGTATTTAGTCTTTCTAACTAACTATAATAAAGATAAAGTATTTAAGAAATCTCTAATTATATAAAGGGAAAATAGTAAAACCTCTATTTATCTTATATAATAAATAACCTAATAACTACTATATTATAAAAAAGTAAAATATTATTAAAACCTCCTTTAAGGATCTTTTATTATAATAAGGAAAATATAAAGAAAAACCTTATTTTATCTTTAATCATTAGATATTATAAATAAAAAAAAGTATTAAGTACTTAAAAACCCTCTTTTAAGCTAATTTTATCTTAAAATTAATTATACTTTGGTTTTAACATTCTTTTAGTTAAAAGATCTATTAACTAAAGAGAGTTAAGAATATATATAATATTTATAATATTCTTTTCGACTTTATCTTTTAAAAAGTAAAAAAAAGATATTAATAAATTTAGTTTAAATATAAAAACAATTATTTTTATTAAGTTTTTTATACTTATACTATTAGTAAGAATAGTAGACTTATTATTAATAGTAAAATTTATATTATTAATAATATATTTAAGAATTTATAAAATATATAATACTTTAATAATAATATTCTTAAGAGCTATATATTCAGTTTTAATGCTAAATAAAGCAACTATTAACTATTTATTTACTTTCCAATTAATTAGAGAGTTATCTAATAAAGTTATAAAGGTCTTAGTTAATTTTCTATCTTTAAGATTATTTCTCTAGTTAGAATCT